CACCTTTAGTGCCGGTTCGTCATGAACCGGGACCAAAGGCCCACCACGTGGCACGAGCCCGCGCCGGGGGGCTGGGGGCCTTTAGTCCCGGTTGGTTACACCAACCGGGACTAAAAGATTTAGGGGTTTATGGGTTTATCGTTTATTTTTCCTTTTAATTTTGTGCTTTTCATTTAATTCTTTTTCATTTCAAACATATTTTACGCTACTACATATTGTACATGTTATGCATATGTATAAATAGAATTTCTCGTAGAACCGATCATATATATATATATCATCGAATTTCTCGCACGACCATTCACATACACATATATATACAATTTGGTATATACATTTTCTCCTACAATTTGCAGATAATTACATGAAGGCATTACAACTTGTAATGGTATTCTCCTTTGGGATCTATGACCTGGTCGAGCAAAAATCCTGCTATTTCCTCTTGAATTGCTCGTACGCGATCCTTTGGTAGGAGCTGATCCCGCATCTCCCTCATCTTTAAAGAAGGAGATCAATATGCATGTATTAGAGGAGTTAGAGGCCCCGGTATACTGAATGGAGGTGCTAGAGAACAAAAATTGAAGGAGATAGAGGCCCCGGTATCTCACTCTTCTTCACAGTGAAGCTGTTTTCCAGGGATTCCATTCAGTAAAACCGAGGAGGTGCTGGATGAAAAAAATCAATTCCATCCAATTCAACCATCTTGCTCCAAAACCTCTAGTAGTAAGAAATATCATGATTGTGTCATGCGCAATCACCTCAAAGCATTTCTCAAATCCAGCTTTGGGGGCATAATTTATTTTTTAGACGGTTGGCAGTAAAATAAGAACGCAAAAGCCCAAGTAAGACAGTTTTGGATGGATCTGCTTTAAAAAACATATTTATTGATACGAACCAATCTGAAAATTACTTTATGCAGCTTTTTGCAAGCAGATTTTTTAAGATTTTGATGGTGCAGTTAATTAAGGACATTGGCATGAAGCCACTTGAGGTTTGAGGGTTGTCTTTCTTTGGAATCAGGGTGATAAAAGTTGTATTGATGGACTGCAAGTTAATTATTCCATGATAGACATCCTCAATAAGCTCACACAAATCATTTTCAAGAATATCCCGGTAGGACATAATAAAAGCGTCATTGACCCATCAGGTGCAGGACCCTTGTGAGAAGGGAATTTTTTAACTTGATTTTCACATAGTTCTTTTTATTGTAACTTGATTTCCATCGGATACTTTTTCTTTTTTGAGTTGCCATCAGATACTTTCTATAGATTATGGAAGCAGTGGGGAAGCTTTACAATTGAGTAATGTAAATGATTTTAATACATTTTAGATTCTTATTTCGATTGTTCCAAAAGATGGTACCAACAAGAAAATGAACACATTAGATTAACTAAATTTGTCCATGGTTTTACTTTCCATGGCTCAAAAAGGACGCATAATTATTAAAGAGCACAATTTGAAGGACTTATAATTGGGTGCCTCCAAGATGGATTTTCCTTTCTACAATTCCATGCCTTTTGGATTAGTATATGTTACGTACAAATAAAGAAGCTTTACTAAATAAATGAAAGAGCATTGCAGAAATCATTGGACATGCTATCTCAAAGAGTTTGTGATCACTAAAAACAATCGGTGACTAATCTTTCTTTATCCCCACGATAAGGCGGCCAACAACTCATCATTGGGTCTATAAAGTCTCGCGGAGAGCCCTCACGCCAAGCGCAGGGACCGACAGAACAGTGCACGCAGCACAGCAATCGCAGCCCCTCCCACGCCTCTCAAAGCTGATTTATTAAGCCTTAACCTCCTCCTTGGAGCACAGAGCATCGCTGGTCCTGCACCTCCGCGGCGGCCGGCATTTCGCAAGAATCGATGGGGTGCAAGTCGTGCCAGAAGCCCAAGGCGCAGCACCGCAAGGGGCTGTGGTCGCCGGAGGAGGACCAGAAGCTCCGCGACTACATCGTCCGCTACGGCCACAGCTGCTGGAGCACCGTCCCCGTCAAGGCCGGTAAGAACTCCCTCCCAGCCAAGCGCGGCCGGCATTTCGCGCGCGATTCCCCCGAGAATTTCGAAGGGGAATCGGGCAGATTTTCTTCTTGTCTACTTGCATTCATGCCCAAATTCCGAATTTCCCCTGATTTCCTGCCGAGGCTCTGCAAATGCACCTCGGCTCGTGGGAAGGGGGAAGATGGGGAATTAATTTCTCTTGAGCTTCGTCTGCCTGCTCGAATTCAGAATTCAGCAAATTTTTGTAGCGCTTTCGGAAAAGAATCCAGCAGAATTTTGTCAAATGTACCTTGGCAAGTGGGGTGGGGGCTAAATTTTGCCGTGAATTGCAGGGCTTCAGAGAAACGGCAAGAGCTGCAGGCTGCGATGGATCAACTACCTGAGGCCGGGGTTGAAGCACGGCATGTTCTCCCGGGAGGAGGAGGAGACCGTCATGAGCCTCCACGCCACACTAGGCAACAAGTAAGCATCCCAAGCACACATCACAATTCTCACCTTTTCCACCCCACCTTCTTCGGCCTCAGATAGCTGACGAGCAAAACGTCACCTGATTAGCAGGCGCGGTTGAATTGAATCAGTCAGAGAGTATTTCTTTGTTATTTTTTTCCTTCTAATTCATCTATAGTCATCCTCAGAAGTTTAATAATAAAAGGAAGAAAAGTAGAGTATTCTTGCTCAATTTGCTGGTGTCAGCATGGCAGTGTCGTTTTGCTGGCGAGTTGAGTTTCAAGCGTAGAAAGTGAAATAAAAGGGAAAGAAAACGTATTCCAGGCGGAAACAAAAGGAAATGCTGATGTCTGCCATGGGCATGGAGACCGCTTTACGTGGTGGAGTTGATGCCGACGCCTGCGTTGGCTTCTCTTTCCGAGTGCTGGTTTGGTGACAGTGAGCAAGCGCCTCGCTTTCGCTAACCTACTGGATGGAAAGTTGGCTTGGTCACGGTTAACCTCTTTTTGGACAGAGGAAAGGACGAAAGAGCAACTGAGAATCGCTAGCCTTGTGGCTAAAGGGTCTTTTGCGGTTGCCTGTCGGTGCAAGCAAAGCTGGTTTTATCATTTCCGTTTCGTGCGTCCTTGATCATAGTTAGTACTGTGCCGTGCCTAGTTTTGATAATGAAGATAGATTGATATTATGAGTGTACAATCATTTGTGAACACGCTTCTAGTACAGTCAACTGTTGAAACAATGGGCAATGATAGTGTAACAGATGCTTTGACATTGACAATCATAGCTTTATTTATCGGAGTAACTGTACACTAATTTGCTTCTCTAACATTGGTGAGGTTTTTTCTCTGGCGCAGGTGGTCTCAGATAGCGCAGCACCTGCCGGGCCGGACCGACAACGAGGTGAAGAACTACTGGAACTCGTACCTGAAGAAGCGCGTCGAGGGCGCGCGGGCGCCAGCCAAGTCCGCCGGCTCGGACGCGCCCCGGAGCCCGACGCCCAGCGACAGCGGCCGCGAACGCAGCACCGTTAACCAGCCGTCCAACTCCGGCTCGTCCGGCCCGCCCGAGTCGTCGTCGACGGCCGACGACTCGAGCAGCCTCACCGGGCCCGGCGCGGCCGGCTCGATCCGGCCGCACGCGCCCGTGCTCCCCAAGGTGATGTTCGCGGACTGGCTCGACATGGACATGGACTACGGCGCCGGCCTGATGGCTCCGAGCGCCCTGGACGCCGCCTTCGACTGCAGCCCGGCGCAGCAGGGCGCGAGCGGGAGCACCACGGTGGACGGTCTTTGCGGCGCCGTGGACTCGTTGCAGGGGCTCGGCGACGGCGGCATCTGCTGGGAGTTCGAGGCGGACATGCAGGGCGGAGGAGCAGGGTTCTGCGACCTGCTCTCCATGAGCGAGTTCCTCGGGATCAACTAGGCGGGAACCCCGGCGTCGCGGGTGAGGCAGCAGGCTAAGCCGACCGTCGTGATCGAGCGAGCGGCGAAGTGTTCTGCGGCAAAGCGTCGCGGGGTGTTTGATTCGTTGTTCCGTGCTGTAAATCATCGTGCCGTGTTTGTGCAGTTTTAAACTTTTTTTCTTTCTTTTTGCCTATAATTGTGCAGTCTTAAGGTTTAGAGTGTAGCGAACAAAGCGTTTAATTTCTTCGTAAGAGTTTGTAGCCCCGCTCTGGTCCCGGGGAACGTGTATACAGAAATAACAACGAGGGCAGAGCGCAAGGATTTCATGGTTTCATAGGTTCCGTATCCGATTGGTGTCTGAATTTCTGGATGAGAATGCATCATGGGACCTCGAGTTGTTAAGGCACTTCGTGGAGGCTGATGTCTCCGTCCATAGTTTAAAAAATCGAACCGCTGACGCTGAGGCCGTCGGTTAAGGTATTTACCGACAAAAAAATCAGAATATTCAAGGATATTTTTCAAAATTTTGACCTCGAATCAAAGAAATACACATAATATTAGACGTAAACCATTAATAATTCATAAGGTGGTATTGGCCTAGTTGGTTATTGGTGTCTTACCTCAAGGTTAGGTGTTTAATCCCAAGGTTATGCACCATTTTTTTTAATCTTTCCCTCTTTTTTTACTAAAAGACCAATACACCTTAAAAGGTAGGCAAGATACCGGTTCCTGGTTTTTCCGGTCGAATCGGTGGTCCGGTCTAGTTTTTAAAACTATGGTCTCAGCAGACCTGGTCGGCCGGCCCTGCCCGGCCTAGGGCTAAACATGTTTGGCATGGCATGGTCCGCGAGAGCACGTCTAGTACACGGGCCTTGTCGTGCCGCCCTGCGTGCCCCGCCTTCAGGCCCAGGCACGGCACTGCATGTAAATAGGCGGGCTCACCGGCATGTTTAGCCCGCCAGTCCGTGTATTATTCAGCCTATTTGATTGTTTTGGGCCTATATTCAGCCTCTTAGCTTATAAAAAAAAGGTCGTGCCATGCCCCGGGACACGTGCTCAACCTCGCGTCCTAAGCACGGCCCGATTAGCCACGGACCGGGCACGCGTGCTAATGAGCCGGCCTGCCAGGCACAACCAAGTGGCCAGGTTTGTGGGCAGATCCTATTTGGCGCGCGGGTCGCCGCTTAGCAACCGCGCGCATACCCCGCTATGCACGTTGTGTTGGTTTGGGCCGGCCCAACTAGCCGTTTTGTTTAATTTTTTGGTTTTTTTCCCTTTTAATTTGCATGTTTTACTTTCTTTTTAAATTTATTTTCCCTTTTTTTCATTTCATTTTTTCTTTCCAAATACACGGACATTTTCTCAAATCTGGGAACTTTTTTCCCAAACCAATGGACATTTTTTCAAGACGGTGAATTTTTAAAAAATTCAAAATTTGTTCACCGAAACAAAAAAAGGTTCATCAAATTCAAAAAATGTGAATGAATTTTTCAAAGATGTTCATCATATTAAAAAATGTTCATCGAATACAAAAAATATTTGATTTTAAAAAGTCATCAAATTAAAGAAATGTTCATTACATTTAAATTGTGTTCATGAGATAAAAAAATGTTCATCAAATTCAAAAATTAAGTTTTAGAATTGTAGGAAAATTTATGAATTCTTGCAATTTTTTAAATCCGTGGAGATTCTTATGAATTAGTGAACATTTTTTGAAATAATAATCTTTTTTTGAAATCCAAAAAAATAAAGAATAATTTTTTATTCAACATTTATTTATCAAATTAGAAATAATGTTCATTGATTTTAAGTTTTGTTCATCAAATACAAACAATGTTCATAAAAAATTGTTCATCAAAATACAAAAATGTACATAAAATCAAAAAATAGTCATGAAAAAGTTCATCCTTTTGATTTTCTTACCATTTTACGAATTTGTGAAGATTCTCTTACATTAGTGAAGCTTTTTTAAATTCTGATTTTTTGAAATCCAAACTTTTTTAAAGAAGCAAAATATTAAACAGAAAAGAAAAGAAAAACAAAAAGAAACGAAAAAAACAGGGGAGCCCCGCCCCACAATTGGGCTAACCCAAGTCACGTGTGGGAGCGAGGGGTTGCGCTTTGTGCGCAGAATAGGAGCTCCCAAGTTTGTGTCTCAGAGATCCTCAAATCAGAGCTTCGCTGAGGTAGAAGGATGACATGCTCGTTTGGGGCCCGGGTAAGTTTGGAAGTTTCTCTAACAAGAGTGCCTACTCTCTTGTGCTTGATGAAGCTCACAAAGTTAGCTCGATGGGCCCTAGTTATGTGCCTAATGGTCACTGTTCTTGTTGGAAACTCATCTTGGTCATGCGGTATTCCACCCACTATATCACATGGAGGGTGGTTGCGAATACCATTCCGACTTGGTAGAATAAACACGATAGGGGTCAATTGACTAATCTCTACTCGGTCATGTTCTGCTGAGACGGAAAACAACTTCCATCTCCTCTGTCGTTGCCCTCTTGCCCGTGAACTTGGAAGTTTATGGCGGAAGTGTGGAGGCTACCTGATCTGGCATCTATTTGCAACATCGACAAAAATGGCTTCTACATGCTCTTGATCAGTTGCCTGATGTTGAGCATTGTATGCTACTAATGACCCTTTGGCGTTGTTGGCATGTACGCAATGAAGTGGTTCACAATAAGCCTCCACCTTGATGGATACTTCCAGAAGGTTCCTTGTCAGCTATCTTGATTCTTTGATTGGACTGAAACTTGATCTGCCTGTTGCCATGCAAAGGAAAGGTGATCATCACATATGATAGTTGGGTTAAACCCTCACATGTGATACCGGCTATGGAGAAGCCGTTTGTTTGGCTTCCTCCAAGATGTGTTGCATTAAATTGAACTCAGATGGGTCCTTTGCGGATGATGGTGCTACCGGTGCAGGTATGGTACTCAGAGATGTCAAAGTGAGAATTATGTTATTGTCTAATTGGGAGCTTTTTCTTGTAGGGAAGCCATCGAGGTCGAGCTATATGTACATGTATGGGAGGTCGCTCTTTCTCTATCTAGAGAAGTGACCTTCCAATTATAGTAGAGAGGATTCCATCATAGCAGTTAAGATGATTCAATCGCGTGGCTTGGACAAACTGGTTTATTCCTCTCTCGTAAAAGAAATCAAACACCTTATTTATCTTCGCGAAACTTGTTAACCGTACTCAGAATAAGGTTAGCGATAGCTTAGCAAAGCTTGCTATATTGGATGGTAGAATTATGACTTAGGTTGGTTCTGGACCTCCAGAACATTAGAGCTAGCTCTCGCAAATTGTACTGACAATGTCATTGAGTCATACAATGTTTTCACTCGCAAAAAGTATTACTATTGTGTCGGACTGCTCATTAGATTGGTCCACATGACCCGTGGACTCTTCTTGTAGTTCAAATTATCACGTGATGTCTACTGCGTAACCTTCTTCTTGTAGACATTGTTGGGCCTCCAAGTGCAGAGGTTTGTAGGATAGTAGCAAATTTCCCTCAAGTGGATGACCTAAGGTTTATCAATCTGTGGGAGGCGTAAGTTGAAGATGGTCTCTCTCAAACAACCTTGCAACCAAATAACAAAGAGTCTCTTGTGTCCCCAACACACCCAATACAATGGTAAATTGTATAGGTGCACTAGTTCGGCAAAGAGACGGTGATACAAGTGCAATATGGATGGTAGATATAGGTTTTTGTAATCTGAAATTATAAAAACAGCAAGGTAACAAGTAATAAAAGTGAGCATAAATGGTATTGCAATGCCATGAAACAAGGCCTAGGGTTCATACTTTCACTAGTGCAAGTTCTCTCAACAATAATAACATAATGTGTTGAAATGTGTTGAAACAAGGCCTAGGGTTCATACGTTCGGTAGTGTAAGTTCCTTCAACAATACTAACATAATTGGATCACATAACTATCCCTCAACATGCAACAAAGAGTCACTCCAAAGTCACTAATAGCAGAGAACAAACAAAGAGATTATTATAGGGTACGAAACCACCTCAAAGTTATTCTTTCGGATCGATCTATTCAAGAGTTCGTACTAGAATAACACCTTAAGACACATATCAACCAAAACCTAATGTCACCTAGATACTCCAATGTCACCTCAAGTATCCGTGGGTATGATTATACAATATGCATCAAACAATCTCAGATTCATCTATTCAACCAACACAAAGTTCTTCAAAGAGTGCCCCAAAGTTTCTACCGGAGAGTCAAGACGAAAATGTGTGCCAACCCATATGCATAAGTTCACGAGCGAAACCCGCAAGTTGATCAAAAAACACACATCAGGTGGATCACGTGAATATCCCAATGTCACCACAGATAAGCACATGCAAGACATACATCAAGTGTTCTCAAATCCTTAAAGACTCAATTCGATAAGATCACTTCAAAGGGAAAACTCAATCCATTACAAGAGCGTAGAGGGGGAGAAACATCATAAGATCCAACTATAATAGCAAAGCTCGCGATACATCAAGATCGTACCATCTCAAGAACACGAGAGAGAGAGAGAGAGAACACATAGCTAGTGGTACATACCCTCAGTCCCGAGGGTGAACTACTCCCTCCTCGTCATGGAGAGCGCCGGGATGATGAAGATGGCCACCGAAGAGGGATTCCCCCCTCCGGCAGGGTGCCGAAACGGGTCTAGATTGGTTTTCGGTGGCTACGGACGCTTCTGGCAGCGGAACTCCCGATATATTCTGATCCCCGATGTTTTTAGGGTATATGGACATATATAGGCGAAAGAAGTCGGCCAGGGGAGCCACAAGGGGCCCACGAGGGTGGGGGCGCGCCCAGGGGGTAGGGCGCGCCTCCCTGCCTCATGGCTTCCTCGAAGCTTCCCTGACGTCTACTCCAAGTCTCCCGGATTGCTTCCGTTCTAAAAATAACTCTCCTGACCGTTTGGACTCCGTTTGATATTCCTTTTCTTCGAAACACTGAAATAGGCAAGAAAACAACAGTTTGGGCTGGGCCTCCGGTTAAT